AAATAACTACTAAGATTTCCTTCTTAAAACTTCCCAATGTAGACTTCTCCATTTAACAAATCTTCTTTCCATGAAGTTGTGCTTGAAATGGCATGGCAAGATTTAAGACTGTCTGTAAATTTGTTGGCTCAAATTTCAGTTTGGGTAGCCTGAATGTCTTTGGAGAATAGAAAGATGGTTCCTAAGTCAAGTCTACAGAATCAGACTCATTTTCCATCTAGCCCAATATGGACTATTCTGATAGCTAAATGTTTTCTACACTCTCCAGAAAAGCTCTCCCAGGTCATTTGCCATCTGTTCCTTTGTTCTTTGTCCCACCTAACATATTTCATGCACATGCAAACTGCATGTACATAAATTTTGAACATGGAATTGGAACCTCTGTTTCAATGCTCTGAGTAATGTAACTCATTCAGAGAGAAGTGCCTCAAAAATTGCATTTCTTGGATGCAATTTAAAAATTGGTATTTTTCCTTAATATATAAAATGTTGATCTTGCCTATTTGGGGCCCAAGAATTCTTATCAATATGCTTATTTGATATTTTAAGCCTTATTTGATCTTTCAAGTATTAAGGGCTGTATGCTACTATTAGCAGCATGTGGTCTGGCATAGTTTTGTTTCTCTTCCTATTCTTCAGTCCTTCCTTCTCCTGATTATTATTCATTTTATTATTCCCTTTATATCTGCTTTCCACTGGAGGCTCAAGGTAATCTTGAGGGATTTTCTATTTTATCCTCGTAACAGTCCTCTGAAATAGGTTGGAGTGAGAGATATTGACTGTCTCAAAATCATCCAAGGTGCTATTTCAAAGTTAAAAGGCCGTTTCAAAATTAATCTGTAGGAACAGAACAAATAATTGAGAGCCCAGTTTGAAATTCAATTCCGTTTTAATACACATTCATTGTAAAAAAAATATTACATTTATGCTCTTATTGCTCTTTGTCTTATTCAGAAAAAAATGGGATGTAGCAGCATAATAACAAGACATTTTAAAACTGGTTAACCAAAATTTTGTTCTACATTTCCACACTGTGAATTATACTGTTATGTGTGCTCTGTGTGAGTTGAATTGCTCTCTTCTGTACTGTGTGTAATTGCATGTATGTGTGTGTTTATACCCATGTGAGTATGCATGTCTAGGTGTATACTGTATATGTCTAATGCTGCTTGTTGTGTCCTTGTGAAGGTTAAACAAGAAAACTGGAGCAGAAACTGGCACACACTGTTTGTCAACAGGATAAATCTAGCAGAGGCTGATGAAACCTAAGTCTTTGCACAACTCTTGCCAACTAAACTGTCCTGACACTTGCTGATCCTTTTGTGGCGGTACTAAGTAACTGTGATTGTGATTCATAATGCCTCTTCAAAAAGAAAGATCCAGATTATAACAATTCTATGTTTTCAGGCATCCTGAGAATGAGGCAACAGAACAGGATCCTTTTTACGTAAATAATAAAACTTCAGAAATTGCAAGGCAGGTTTCAGGGTGGCACAAGGTGGAAGAGCAAACTAATTAATTAATAAATAAAACAAATTCTCTGAACCCCTTGCCAAAAAATGAAGCCCCAGCAATAGAAAATAGAAAATGCTGCTGTTGCTTTTCTCTTTCTCTTCCTCTTCCTTCATATGTACTTTCCCCACCCCCCTCTCTCTCTCTCCTTCCCTCTCTCTCCCCCCTCTCTCTGTCTCTCTCTTTCAGTCTTATATAGTGTGGATGGATCAGTAGGTGTCTGTGGCTCATCCTATCTGAAAGAACTATTTTAGAAGAGAATCAAGGGCAGTAGGAAGCATTTGCCAATTCTCTTTTGCAGATCCTGGCACTCCATCTAACCCCATCTGTTTCCTACCCCTAGCCCTGAGCAGTCTTTTTATTCCCAGAAAAGATTCCAATCCAAAGGAAAGAGGCTGTTTCCTGGCATTGACTTCTCTTTCTGCCTTCTCAGTTTCACCTTGCATGTTTTTTCAGACCATTAAAAAAGGAAATACTGTTAATAAAACTGACTTCTGTCTATTTCCATTAGCAGGAGTATCTCCTGAGCAGAAAGCTACTTAAGGGAGATTGGGACTCAAACCATGGTTGTTTTCCTCATATATGCATAGTCAACTCATAAGCCGCACAATGTGAATTTAGAGAGGAAGGAGAATTTAACCTAGTCTTGCCCAAATACATGGGATTTTGAGAAGACCCAAAACTGCTATACACCTAGAAATTGCCAAGAGTCTTTGTACATGCACCTAATAAGTTTATAGAGCAAAGACACTCTTGCTTTCCCCTTTATGAATTTAAAGTGCCAAATTTTCACAATTGCAATTCCACATTAGCATTACTTCATGTATAGATTGGGTAGCTCACACTAGTCCAGAGAATGTGAGTGGCATAGTCACATACAAGCAGCATTTCAGATTAATTGACTCACTCCAAGGTGGATGCCATTAAACAATCAGCAGGTTAGAATAGGATTATTTTATCGGCCTCACAGAACATGAAGAGGGAGGGGATTTCCCAAAATACACACCACACACAAAAGAGTTTTAAAGCTCAGAGCACCTCCCTTGGAAAAGGTCTGTCACCTAGTCCATGCCCACCAAAAATGGAAGACTTTCAGCAAAACCTCTTGAGATGTTCTTACTAGATGTGCAGACTCAGCTGATTTTGGAAACCTCCTGGGTAACTAGTGCAAAAATTATTAGAAGTGGTGCTACCCTACAATAGTAGGACCGATTCATCAGCAGCACATCTTGGACCATTACAGCTTCTGTAGAGAATAAGGAAGATGAGCTCGATGGAAATATGCAAGAACTGTGTTCTAAGCAAAAGGATCTGAAACATTTTAAAGTCCAGAACGGCCAGATAACATTCATAACCATCTCAGATAGACACCTCCCTAATTTACTTAAGAAGACATACAGCACCATAAGATTTGAAAATTCTGTGATTATATCAATCTCAATAAAAGTAATTTTAGATATCCCGTGAAGCTGATTTGCTCCACCCAGTGGGACTAGCAGCTTCTCCAAATATTGCAAATATCCCAAATAAAGCATATTACAGTAATCCAGATATATTGAGATTAGGGCATCAGTTATCAGAATCTGGGTCCAGGTAAGCATTTGGCATACACAACCTCTCCCAGCCACATCTTCACCTTTGTTTAGGCGGTATCCAAGAATCCAAGAAAAGCTCCAGAAACCAAGCTTATTGTGGAAGCTTAACCTCATTCAGAGTAACTACTGGGACTGATGTCTTCAGATGTTTGTTGACATATAGCAACTAATCCTGGAGATAGGTATTTAGCTTGGGTTTATTTTACCTGAGCCTTCAGATATTGATTCAAGTTTTCCATAATATTCCTGACATGGCTTGGTATGGTGAGGTACAGCTGAATATCTTCAGTGTGCTTATAACAATTCACCCCAAATGACACATTCCTTTGTGAATCTCTTAAAAAGTCACAAGAAAGAACACCAGGATTACTTGAGTTTTTCTTTAAATACTTTTGCTCTTTATCTTGTCAAAGATTTTAATAAGGAACTTGATTATTATTAGAATTGCATTCGCTTTCCACTTATGCTCTCCCCCCCCCCCATTCCAAAGGACATATAGGCTTTGGGTCTGATTTGAGGGAACACTTCATTTGGCCTTACATTTAGACTAAGGCAGAAAGCTTTCTGTGTTCCAGACATTCATGAGAGGCAAACTATTAGCAGTCTAAGGGCACTTAGAAACCTCTGGCACTAATTACTGCTGATTACTGCTAGTTTAGACAAAATACCCAGGTTAGTTGCATATTTTCATTCAGATAATCCTTCCCACCTCATTCTCAAGTTAATGTAGAGACAACAGAGAATGGCCTTGAAGGATAAAGGAAATATCCATTTTCAAGTCAACGATCAGACAAGTGTGGTTTAAGTCCATTCCAAGAAATTAATCTGAGAAAATGCCTCAGATAAACCCATCCCTAATTCACATGGATATAAAATGAGAGAGTGGGAAGCACATTTAGACTTGCAAGATCCTGTTATTATAGCTTTCTGATAAAAATAATTTTTGACCAATATGGCATTGATTTCTTGATCTATCCTTTGGGGCTGACACTTAATGCCTTTTGAATACCGAGGATCAAAATGTAAATGCAAATAAAGGAAATTTAAAATGTATTTTTAATAATTAAAACATTTTACTTTTTAAAAATATTAATCTAATGATGATGGACATTTATGCCACGTTAGCAAATGACAGCTGTCCATATAGAAATTCTGCGAGGATTAATTTTGACTTCCAGTATTTCAGAATCAATGTGGAAATCATTGCTGAAGGCTAGTGCTTCTAGAGCACAACCAGACAATTCCAGATGTTCCAAACCACTCTACTGTATTGTATTACTAAAGGAAGCGCTGTACAGATACTTTGCTAATTAAGTGAGGAGAGGCAGATTCAAAAACAATGAACAGAAAGTAGTGACAAGTTATATCATCTCGAGTTCCTAACATAGTATGAGATAAATGAGATTTTCTTGGTTCTTCCAGACAGCAACCAAACCTACCTGACAAGAGGCATTGCATGGTGTTCCATTGATGGCTTTTAAAAAAGAATAAAGAAATGAGAATATACTATGCCAGTGCTAAGTGGAAGAACTGGGTATCATCTCCTCTATAACAGGTCAACTGAATGTAAGAAAAACATTGTTTGGAATATTTCTTATGCATTTTGTGTCCAGCATTTATATTCAGATTTCCTCTTCTTCCTTTCACAATTTTTTTCCAGTAACCACCTAAGGAATAACTTTGCTGGGCAGCTTACATGACAGTTTGGAAGCTACCACAAATTGGTATTTGCTTAGGCTGGCCTCTTTTTTATGGTCATATAATTCATCTTCTCTAACTGGCAATCCATAGTGATAGAGGCACTGTTATGGTTTAAAATTTACCTCTATCACTTTATCACATAATGTTGACAAACGTATATTACATAAATAAATTTCTCTTTTTATACATATAAATGTTACAGTTGTGCCATTTATGCATTATTGTCATTGAGGAAATCTCTATGGGTCAAAATTGGAGGAGCTTAAACCTTAAAAAAATAGATGATTTAATTCTACAGCAAAATATATTATATACATTTTCCATTGTAGGTTATTACTAAAAGCTTTCAACAGGAGACTCAAAAATAAAAAGGTTAAGTAATGGCAAGTTCTGTATCATTATCCATTTTTGCTCCTCTTTGAAATGCCCCACTATAACTGTTCCAGAAACAGCAACAGGCTCTCTTCAGTGAAGATCCATATCTAGAAGATCTTGAAACAGTTTGATCACATGTTGTGGTTGGTTGCAAGCGTATTCCTCAAGTTTCAGCCCCATTTGTTTGTGCAAGCTTTTAGTGAGTTTAGAGACCACAGTTCTCACGTTTCCACTCTTCCCAGGTAATACCCCATTACCAATCATGTTACTCAGGAAATACCAGAGAACAGGAAGGATGTGACGTTCAACAACTTGAGGCTTTCGTGGATAAGCAACAGCCACAAGACCTGAAAGCAGAAGATTGCAGTCTTTAAGTAACAAGAATGGGGTTTCTCAACCTTGGCTGGTTCAGGAATTCTGAGAATTAAAGTCCATACTTTGTGGTCAAGATTGAAAAATAGTGAACTAGATAGTTGCTCACTTTTATGATCACACTCATAGCACTGAAATTTGAAAAACTGTTAAGTCAATATCCTTTTCAACGAACAACTGCTTATTTAGTTATGTTTGCAATTACAGTGGTAATTAGGTACTCATTTTTAATTGGTTCTGGGAGGTACAATAAGTACCAAAAACAAAGAGTACCAAACAAATTTTTCCCATAACGAATAATGTAGTGAGTTACAAAGCAGCTGACATCAACAAATTCTAGCTTGTGCATTGAGTACCAAACAAACAAAGAGTACTAGGACAAAATTTTCACATCAAAATATGTTGAGTACCAATATATTGATGAGTTTCAAAGCAGATGCGTACCAAGGTACCACTGTATTCTCATATAAGCATTAATAGTATTGTACAATTAAATAGATAGCAATAACTGTTATTTATTTAAATTTTACCCTAGTATTTTCATATGTTGGTGTTAGGTAACATCAATACTTTTTATAAAAGGGAAATCTTTCAGGGGAATAATCTGCTATCTGCGTTAGTAATAGTGGCAGTTTTTTCCTCATTGCTGCATTTCGTCCACTCCTTGATTGCTTACACAGGCAGTCCTTGCCAATTGGACTGTATCAATAGACCATAGCAGTAGAGTCATAAAGTGATTTGAAGGGAGAGAGAGAACATGGGCTCATCTTTTCTAATAAAGTTATCAACAGCTGAAATAAGATTTATAATAGAACAAGTAATCTTGCAGAATTGTTAAAATTCTTGAAATTAGTCCCCATGGAAATCTCCATGGAAACTTCTTTCAAGTAACAGAAAATAAGGTATGACTGTTTAAACAAACTCTTTAGTGCTTTATGCTAGTATAATGGCAGTATTGTTGTTATTTATTTGAGATTTTGACTATTGACAGGGTGCCACAAACTGATATACAAATTATGTACCACTGCAGCACATTGCCTGAGGAGCAGGCACTAGCTCCAAGTTAAAAAAAAAATATCAGGTGAAATGTAGCTAAATAGAAAACAGTGCTCTGTGGTGAGAAGGACACACATCACATCTGATCAGTGTCTGGTCTCTCCCACTTTGCCTCAAAAGCCACATGGCATACTTATGTAGAATGAGACCATCCGAGAAAGACAATGGTCATGATTAATCAAGGAGGCAAACAACTTAGAACTAAGAAGAAATTTCCTGACGGTTACAACAATTAACTTGCCTCCAGACGTTGTGAATGCTCCAACACTGGAAGTTTTTAAGAAGAGATTGGACAATCATTGGTCTGAAATGGTATATCATTTCCTGCCTGATCAGGGTAGGACTAGAAGATTTCCAAGGTCCATTCCAATTCTGTTATTCTATTGCATTCTATTCTAATCAAAGAGAGAAGCAACCTAGAAATAAGGAGACATTTCCTAACAGTGAGGACAATTAACCAGTGGACCGGCTTGCCTTCTGAAGTTTTCTTTGGAGGAGATCTAATATCAATAATATAGCAACGCAGACTTCATGTATGCACAGTCAGCTGCAGAGACCAGTGACAAAACACATACCTGTGACTACGAAAGAAATGTGCAAACTTAAAAGCTAGGAAAATCAAAATATATTGGAAACAAAAACTGTACATAAATGTGATTTGAATCTAAATTTTTGTGAATTCCTTCTGTTATGTAACTATACATAAAATACATTTTGAATATTTAAAAATTGTTTTGGGGATCTAAGTGGAATTCTGCACAAGGGTACTTTGTATGTCAGCAGCAGCTTTGACTATTGATATTTGGCTATTGTTTGTTTTTTTTTAAATCCTTAAATGAATTAAGAAAATAGTTTTGTTGTTAATCCTAAAATTACTTCACATGCTTTAGGAATGTGGAACACCAGATTGTGTAAGTTAAAGACACCAGCTTTTCCCAACCTGATACACTTGGCTTAGACTCCTGGATGGTTGGACTAGACTGAAACATACCTTCTGGGGTATACCTTGGGCAGAGGAAAGACACTGGCTAAATTCTGGGTGTTGTTTTTGTTGTGGCTTCTCACTGCAACTATGAGCCTAATAATGCCTTTAAAGAACTTGCTGTTACTTAGCCTGCAATGTGAGATAACAATGACCTATCTCAGTGGTGGCGAACCTATGGCACGGGTGCCAGAGGCGGCACTCGGAGCCCTCTCTGTGGGCACACGTGCTGTTGCCCCAGCCTTGCCTCCCCCCACAACCCCCTCACCAGCAGCCCCCCGGAGAGTCACCCCCGAGCATGGCCCACGCGGAGCAGTGCAGCCAAGGACATGGCAGCCAGACAGCATAAACAAGACTCTGCCCTCATGCCCCTTTGCGCACAGTTGATGCTGTGGGGCGCAGGCAGAGGGTGTGGCCGCCATGGCACTGCTGGGCGATCTGCAGTGGGCCCTGGAGGCGGTGAGTGGCCCTGCAGGCAGGCAGAGCGGGGGCAGGGCAGAGGGTGGAGCAGGGGTGGGGGCCAGTTTTTGGGCACTCGGTCTCTAAAAGGTTCGCCATCACTGACCTATCTTATATGGTTGATCTTAGAATTACTGAAACAATGTACAGTATGTTAAATTCATTGCTCATTGTAAAACCTATAGAAATGCTAAATAATAATTTCTGCAACATCCTGTGGATATTTTTTTCCAAATTACCATAATTGTTCTGGTCTATGGCTGGGGATGATTATGGCATAATGGTTCATATATGTTTTCAAGAAATATAATGATTCATCATTCATTCAAATAGTTCGGAGGAAAGTATTAAAGCACTGTGTATTCAAAAGTTAAAGTGTGAAAACATAGCTACTGATTAATCCAAAGGAAAAAAGTAGATATGTATAGTCCATACAGATTTTAAAAAGAAGGTTATTTTCATCCAAAACATTTCATAAGCTGAAAAAAAAAAATACCAGAAATTGAGAAAGTATACATCAATAATAAGTCTGTGCTGTCATTGTTGTGCCACTTCATTTATACTGCATAAAACTGGGGATTGGAGGACTAGGGTAAATACTGTTTTATTATAAAGCCATTTGGTAATTTTACTAAATAGAAGTTCTGCTGATCTTAAATTATCATTATTGCAGTTTTGTGGCTTTAGTGCTTTTTTCCCCCTACAGGAAAAATTATAGCTCTTGAATGCTGCTTGTTTTTAGTGATTGATTTACAGCCTAATAGATGGCTTGGTTATCTATTTCAAATAGATACTTATTTAAAATGTCTGTATCAAATTTCTAAGCTGCAAAGCTAAGCTAAAGGGTACTCTAAGAGTCAAACACCAGTGATGCCAGTGACCTTTTAGTGATATCTGATGAGGATATCTAGAATCCGGTTACATCTCAGTGGCCAATGAAGAACAATCATGATAAGCTTTAGGATGCATATATTGAAGAAACTAATTTCAATTTTGGGGTTCTGATATAAGAAGTTTGTGATCTAACGTCAGCTAAATACAGCTGTGGATTGGACCCCTGGCCAACTTTTGGTTCTGTTGTCCAATCGATTAAAGAGATTGTAGCAATTGGTTTGGGGCAGGGGCAAGATACCAATTTTCAGAAATAATTCCTGAGTCATCCAAATTCCTGGAAAGGACGTAACAACTTTGGTCCAAGAAACCATAGTTTATTTTACTGAGAATGTTCTATCCACATCATCTCTTCTTCCTCTCATTCCTTGTTAGGAAAAAAAATCTTAAATCATGGCTATATGTCTAAATTTTTATATTATATTTTAATTTAGACTTCTTGCCAAAGCTTATATCAATTTCTTTGTTCAGTGGTTTCTTCACTGTTTTCCATTGAAAAACTGTTATATTAAAATTCAAAGAATAAAGGGGAAAGAAAATGCTAGTAGAAACAACACCTACTTATTGGTTTGTATCTAAAATGCAAATTAAGTGGAATATTTGATTTTATCCAATATTCATAAAACTGACACAAAAAAATTGCAGAAAAACAATTTTGTATCTTTATTTGGAAATAAACTCAGCTGAATACCCTCAACAAATGGAATGGGACAACATTTAAATCTCTATATATGTTTTTGCAAGATATTCTTCTCTATTTTGGAGATATGAGCCCAACTGATTCAACTTATTTTGATACCAATCTTTTCAAAGTGACTGTCCTGCCGATATGTTGCTAGAAACAACACCTCTAAGACTGAGACATGTCTGTGCTAATAAGCCAGAGATCCTCCAGAGAAAGTGCCTATGAGAAATAAGTAGTCATTTCTCATTTCAAGTTTGAAAAGTTGTAAATAGAAATATGCTGGCTTGAGCTATGAACAAAGGTACTCTTTGTCTCCTACTGTTATCAGAAATATTGTTCAGAAGAAACTCCACACCAAACATAGTCTTTTCTGACCTGCCAGACGATCCGTGATGTCCTGAAGAGCTCGGCCAGTGAGAAAACGCACTCTGCTGGCAAATATTTGAAGCAGCAATAGGTTATCTGAAAGGGACAAACATATTGTTTGGATGCGAACTATTATGGACCACTGAAAAATGAATGTGGGAGGTTACACAAGTTACAACATAATAAACAAGGAACACTTTCATGTTTTTTTGTGCTTTAATTGAGAAGAAATTGTTTTTGCAAATTTAGATTTGTTCCTATAAGCTACTATCCTTCATAAACCTATGCTAATCTTCCCCAATTTGCATTCTTCCAATGTGTTGGGAGCATAATAACCAGAATCCCCAGTAACTCATTCAATTGAATTGAAGGCTTGGAGAAGTATTGAGCTTGAAGGAATATGACTAATGTATGAACATTCTGTCTCTGATACTCTGTGAAATCAACTTACAAGCTGAAATTACAAAAAAAAAATTATCACAGCACTGAAGTTTTTGCTTGCAAATAATCAAACTAGGCTTCAATGGATCCTACTTGGCCAGACATTCTTCTCCCAACGCATTCAAATGTAATCAATGTTCCTTGCAATAATCCATTTTACACTCTTAAAAATGCAAGCTATTTTAAATAATGATATTTTAAAAGTATAGTGAAGAAACATTGTTCAGTATGCCTTTACGAACAAACTATTTATTTTATTGAACAATATACTAATATACTCAAATCAGCATCTACACCTCTTTAAGATGGAGGATTATCTTTTTGTTAAAGTTCTTTTAGCGATTATGCAAGTGTTTGATGCAAAAGTTTTATGACCTATGGTTCTTCCATGCCACTTTATAAAGAGATTATGAAGTAGCATTGGTGGATTGCCTTAGGACTATGGAATTCCTGCTTCAGATAACAACCAATACCATTAGAAGTCATTTTGGGGGGATTGTAAAGCATTTGTATGTTAGCTGGCTTTTGAAAACCCAGGATCAGGCATTTAACAATGATCCAGGTTTCAGCCTTCAGTGAATAGATAACATGCCCAATTGATTTTAAATGGAATCTATTCCAAGCCATTATGATGGAGGGAAATGGTACAGCAAATAAATACACATTAATTAAATGTGACAAGTGTTGATGGGTTGGCAGGTGATTTTAAAAAGATTATTTTCCTAATTTGTTCCTTCCCAGATTACGCAGCCAAGAAGAATCAAAGGATCAAAGAGAACAAAATAGCAAGGAGCAAAAAATTGTGCTCTGATCAATGCCATCCATTGTGATCTTGATGAGGAAGAGGATGATATTCTGAGCCAGGCAATTCTGTCCTTTTAGTGATTAATGGCAGGTATCACCATTTGCTGCAGCAGGAAGAACAATTGCTTTGAAGTGCTAATATCAAATGTGGAGAGTGAGTGTTAATTATTGATGATCATTGCCCCGGTATTACTATCTTTAAAGATTTTAGTTCACTTGTAAGACTGACTTTCAAAACTCATTCTAAAGTAAAGCAAGGTACATTTCTCTCTCTCCTTCTCTTTCTCTCTCTCTCTCTCTCTCTCTCTCTCTCTCTCTCTCTCTCTCTCTCTCTCTCTCTGTTTTTTTTTTTTTGTCTTCCAGAAAGATGTGCTGTACATTTCAAAAATCTGAGAATCATGAAAACCCCCAATAAGCTATTGGTAGGAGATTAATTTAGAGCTGCTTTCCCAGAAGGTCAAGAAATGGGGGGATGTAATGTTTGACAGCAATGGTGTGGTTTTTTTTTTTAATCTTCTGCAGCCAGCCTTCACAAAGTGGGGAATCAGGTACCAGACGAAAAAACTCAAATTCTGAAATACAATCAGAGAACACTTCCTTTTAAATGAGTTTTGTTCTTTCATCCATCTGCAAATGTAAATCTAATTGTATATCTTAAAAGTATGCTGATGTTGATGATTATATTAAGCTATTTTTATTGCTGCTCTCTCTCCATCTGATATTTTGATTCAAATAGCCTTTTCATAAAATCAGTATAAGGAAGGTTTCTATATGCTTTATATGATACTGCATGGAAAATAGGTCCAAGAAAGAAAATGAATATATAAAGTAATGAAAATCAAAAGGAAAGGAAGGAAAAAGTATCTTAGCAAATATCCATAACATAATATTATAATCAGTTAACCACATTTATGAAGCCAGTTATTTTTTTAAAGAATGTTATTAAATTTCAAAAACTAAAAAAAAGAGAAGAACTCTTATTATTAAGAATTAAGAACTCATTATATTTTTCAAATCCCAAAAATTTCTGTCCAGTAACATCTAGAATCTGTGATTTCCAAGGACATATGAGCCCCATACTTATAAATGACAATCATACATTCCCTGAAAGACAAAGAAATATATACACATACTGTCCTCTTGTGGTCAAAGCTCCTAAAGGATCCATAGATAATGTTCCCAGTCCAGTCAAGGAAGGAAAATAATGTTAATCCAAACTCAGAATTTACACAAAGAACTATAATTTCCAGAATGTCAATTATCCTGATCCATAAAAATATTGGTGGACATTTTTGGAATTAATTGCAGTATCAGGGTTATTTTTCTCAGAAGTAATCCACTGGGGTGCAGTGTAAAAGAAGCAAAGAGTTTAGATAAAAGGAGAATACTCTCTGTGCATGCTCAAGCCTCTAGCCAACTATAGGCAACCTTTGCACATGTTGCTGAACTACAAGTAATAGCTTCTCCCAGCATTGATTGTGCTTCCTATAGAAGCTGGGATCTGTAGTTCAACAATAGTTACAATGATACACATTAGCTATCCCTGCAAATTAAAACACAGTAAAATTAATTTCTGATTCTAAATTCAGTGCTCGTGTTCTTCAATATAGGCAGAAATATGACATGGTTTGGATATAAGTAAATCTACTAGGATATCTGTATGTCAGTACTAACTTCAGTTGTGATTCATGAATTCCTATAATATGTCTGGCCTATTCACCCAGTATAGCATTTTCATATTGATATAAATCTATGTGGTATGAAATTTACAGCAGTCCTTGGTTTTGTAGTTATTGGCAATTGCAATTTCTGCCTTTGGAGAACAATGTTTGAAAGAAGCCGTCATTTAGACATGGATTTATGCTTGTTTGTTCTTCAGAAATGAGCTCAATAAACTATAAATTTCCTTCAAAGAAGAGTACGCATTGGAGATATTTATGAATTAGAGATAGGAGAATGAGCTGGATGAAGCTCATAACTTAGGACTTCTATAAAGCCAGCACAGAAGAAGCTTATTTGGGAGATTGTCCTCAAATCAAGAGCAAAAATAACTCATGGGCTATATTCAAACAACGCACATAACCTTGTCCCTGAAATTTCTAGATTTCCACGATACACGGAACCATACACTAACCAGAAAAAACTGTCTTCATATAATACAGTAAGCAATGAAAAAGCAAACCAGGGTTCAAACTTACCAAGCTTAATTTAAATATATATATATAACAATTTATAAGGCTGTCTGGTCAAGATGTGACTATGAGAAGATAACTATCAATCAGACATCCACATTAATAATTAAAAACCAACAGCATTATGTACAAGAATAAAGGTCCAACAAAAAAAGCAGTCATTGCACTAAATCTAGCTAATACCCATGTCCAATGATTAATGGAAGAGCAAGTCTTTAACATCTTTCAGAAGGTCATTAAAGTTGAGGTCATTGAAATTTCAGGGAATATCCTGTCCATTGGTTAGGCCAGGGGTCTCCAACCTTGGCAACTTTAAGACTTGTGGACTTCAACTCCCAGAATTCCTCAGCCAGCTTTGCTGGCTGAGGAATTCTGGGAGTTGAAGTCCACAAGTCTTAAAGTTGCCAAGGTTGAGGACCCCTGGGTTAGGCAATATAACAGAGATAGGTCCCATTACAGGTAATCCTCATGGCCATAATTGAGCCTGCAATTATGATAGTAAGTTGTGCCAGTCATTAAACTTGTCATCATGTGACCATACCCACTTTTACCTTTTTTT